TGCTGTAATTGTGGTCTTTTTTCATATATTATTTTATGGTTGTATTCTCGTTTTGATTGGTCCTCATTTGATAGAATGGAACATATTTATAGACAATAGAGGTGATTTTGATGGTTTGTTACTATGAAAGAACTTGAAAGGAGCTTAAAGTAGGGAAATGTTTGATTTTGGCCGATGACGTCGTTCAAAGGTAAACAAATGATGTATTTTCCAATAAATGGTCCAAGTAGACATTCTAATATGCAGTCATGAATGGTTGACATTATTATACAATTATTACAATATTGCAGTAGACCTGCATAACAGTAAATCTTTCTATGGTTTTGTTTGTATAAAAAATCAAAACAGAAAGCAAGATAATATCAAGGGGGGGCCTGGAGACATGACTGATGAACAAAGAAAATTTATTTTAGAGGCCAAGAATGTCTCATAGTGTCATTCTGGACACCTATATTGAAATTGTAAGATTATTTTAATTTTCATGAAATGGCCAAATTGCAATTTCAGACCACGTTATTTGATTTGAAATTTGGTAAAAGGGCAGTTTCTTGTACACAACTCGATAGAAAAAAAAGTGGAGTTCTAAGAAATAGGCTATGATTTTGGTCCAACGGAACAATTGAATTTGCCGTAAAATAGGGCAAAAAGTGGCAAAATTGCCGATTCGTAAATATTGCCGAGCACTAACTTCAAAAGAGCGTAATTCCATCAATTTTTTTCCTCAAAAAAGATTTCGTATCTTTGGTGTCATTACAATCAGGAAAAGGTCCCCTTATCTTTCATAAGAAAATAATTTTTTTTTTTTTTTTGGGGGGGGTGAAATTTTCAGACACGCTCAGGATTTGGGGTTGGAGATGGCAACAGTCAGGGGTTAAATATGCATTTACATGCACTAAAAGAAGAAGCATTAAAACATGACACTAGAAAGCTGCTATTTTACTGGAAGGAAGCAGGGAGGAGGGGAGAGGGGAAATAGTTATATTTGAAGGTGGAAACCCCCTCCATAATGATTGAAGGTACCAAGTCCTTATCTGGGGTCACTTCCCTCCTTTGTTTTTTACTGTCACTAGGACCAGCTTGAGAGTCACTGGACCCCTGTCGCACAAAATATCTGTCCAGATAGGTCTGTTTCTGGCGTCTCTGAGATTTGCCTAAAATGGGACATGGCATGGTCAGTACTATACAATACAGTACTTTATTTGGACGTGATACATGGTTGTACAAGGAATTATAGTAGTTTGGTGTACATGCCAAAAGCCCCTTGTATGCAGAGCATTATGGGCAGGCTTAAAATTAACTTTAAATTAACTAAGCAGTGATAGATTCAGTGGTAAAAATTACCATAAACAATTTACAATGTGAAGTACAGTGGAACCTCAAATATCGAACTTAATCCATTCCAGGAGCTAGTTCTAAATTCGAAAAGTCTGAAATTCGAAGCAATATTTCCCATAAGAAATAATGGAAATACAATTAATCCATTCCAGAAACCCAAAAATATTCACAAACAAAAATACATTTTATAGAGATTAATTACAGTTTTACATACACACAACAAATGCTATAGTCTTTAATTATGTATAGTAATATAAAATAACATTTTTACTTACCTTTTATTGAAGATTGAGATGGCATCGGAAGGCAGGAGGAGGAAGAGAGGAGGGCGGTGGGGGGTTTTTTTTTTTTTATTATATGTTTGGAAGGAGAATCCCCCTCCAAGAGACTTCCATCAAAGGCCTCTCAGGGGTTGCTTCCCCTTCTCTGTATTTTCAGTGTTTTCGTTATGAAAACTAGTGGATACTAGTGTGGTAGCCGCACAATCACTATCACTCCGTTTTTCTCTTATAAATAAGAGCATGGGGAAGATGTGGTCAAGTGGGATGGGAATGGCCACCACCAATCTCATATATAACATATTTTATTCCATTCAGAGTAAATATCATGTATCGAGTGTTATGTTATCTTGTTTTTTTATATCATATTATATTCAATTGTGAATAGATAAATAAGCCATAGAGTGAATTAGCATTAATCTTGAAGTATTTTGTCCTGCCACCCGAGAGCAGGAATTGCAAGGCTGGAAACGGAATCAGTGGCATTTCAGTTAATTTAACCCTGACAGACGAAGGGCCAATCCTGGAAGTTGCTCCTGGGTGTCGCCAAAATATTCGAAAAAAAAAATTATTTTTTCTTATGAAATTAAAGAGAATCTTTTCCCGTTGTAAAGACACAAAAAAACGAAATTTGATGGAAAACTGAAGATACGCTCCTCGCTAATTAGCGACTTCGGCGTATATTTAAAATCCGGCATTTCGCTCCACTTTGAGCCCTATTTTCGGCTAATTTCCGTTTATCCAGTCAACCAAACACAATAAGCTCTTTTCGACAGGAACTCCATTTTTTCTATCGATTTGACACAAGAACTGCCCATTTACCGATTTCACCTACCCCAATAACATGTCAAAATGCAATTTGGACAATTTCACGATCACGAAAATTAAAAAAATACGACAATTTCAAAATAAGGTCCAGAAATGACCAATGCATACTATCCTGGCTCTAAAAAATAGATTTTCTTTGTTCAACAGTCATGTCTTCCAGGACCCCTGAGATATTACACTGCTTTTTATTTTGAAATTTTATTCAATACAAAAAAATTAGAAGATATACTGTTAGCGACTACTGCAATACTGTAAAAATTTTAAAAATTACATCAACCCAATCATGACTGCGTATAGATAATTGCGTATTTGGAGCATTTATGGAAATAGACATCATTTGTTACTTTTGAACATCGGCAAAAAATCAAACATTTCCCTGTACTTTGTGCACCATTTCCAGTTTCTTTTTAATAGTAAAATTAATCAAAACACCTCATTTCTATAATATAGTTCCCAATCTATCAAATGAGACCATTGAAAACTAGAATACTACCACAATACTATATCGAAAATAACCACAAAGTCGCATTTTTAATTAAGAAAAAACGGTCGTAGTTTTTTTTTTTCTCATTATGCACTGCGTGCTCCAGATTTTTTTTATGTGGTGCACACTGACCACTACAGACCCATTCCTCTCACATTTGGGGCCTACAGCTTTCACCTTCCTGATTATGGAAGCCGTAGAATTTATGAGTATATATAACCGTCAAACCTCTGTCCTCACAAACGTATATAATACGCCGCGACAACAAAGGGTTAAATGAGGAAAATTTATTCAAATATGAACAAATAGAGTATAACGAGCTTAGGTCACGAAAAGGATTTAACTCGTAAGTTGAGATTCCACTGTATTAAAATAAATATATTAACCCTTTGACTGTCGCAACCCCCAATCCTGAGGTGTCTCCCTCTGTCGCAAAATTTCAAAAAAAAAAAAAAATGAATTTTTCTTATAAATGATAGAGAAGCTTTGAACTGGGGTTGACACCATAAAAACGAAATTTGATGAAAAAACTGACGGAATTATGCTCTCACGAGTTTAGCGACTTTGCGATATTTACAAATCGGCGATTTCGCGCCACTTAGAGCCCTATTTTTTCGGATAATTTCCAATTATTCCAGTCGACCAAACTCATACTATTACTTAGAACTCCATTTTGTCTTATCTATTGAGTACAATGAAACTGCCCATTTACCGATTTTCAACACCAATAATGAGTCCAGAAATTTGCAATTTGGCCAATTTCACGAAAAAATTAAAATTATAACAATTCAAAATAAGGCCAGAATGAACAATGCCAGACATTCCTGGCTCTAAAAGTAAACATTTTCTTTGTTCCATCAGTCGAATCCTCCCAGGCCCCTCTGCATATTACTCTTGCTTTCTATTTTGGAATTTTTATTCAAACAAAAAATAGAAGACTTTAATATTATACAGACTACTACAATACTGTAATAAATTGTATAAATAACATCAACCCATTCAAGACAGGCATATTAAAATGGCTATTGAGAAAAAACCATTTATTGGACAATGACATTCATTTGTTTACTTTTGTTGAACATTGTGCAAAAATCAAACATTTTCCCCTACTTTGAGCTCCAATTTTCCAGTTTCTTTTTATAGTAAAATCATCAAAATCATCTCTACTTCTTAATATGTTTTCCATCTATCAAATGAGACCAAGAAAATGAGAATACAACCATAAATACAATACAATAGACCACGAAGTCGGCATGTTAATTAAAAAAATGGTCGGAGATTTTTTTTATTTTACATTATCACTGCGTGCTCCAGGATTTTTTTTATATGTGCACACTGACCACACAGACCCATTTCTCTCACATGTGGGCCTACCAGCGTTTCTCCTGCTTGATTTGAAGCCGCTAGAAATTTTATGATATATATACGTCAAACAGCGGTAACCCTTGTAAGACGTATATATCTGGCCTGGCGACAGTCAAAGGGTTAATAGTAACATTACTATATATATAGTCATACAACCTACTCTGTATACAAAATCACACACTAATACACCTTTTCTCACATTAGCTCCTAGGCACACTTGACTGCTAATTGTAATACTAAGTCATATACTCAGAGCCCATGCAGCACGCACTAGGCCTTAAAAGAAAATCGAGAAGAGCATAAAACGAATAAAATAACCAAAATACCAACCACAGTCCTACACCTAAATATGACTGACGTTGTTCCAATCGATCTGCTGTTCGTCTTGTACTGCTCCTGTCCTGTCCCTTGCTACTCTTCAGGACTAAATACACATCCAGTTTCAGAACAAATCTGGAACTGACATTATATGTGGAGCGATATTTGGTACACAATTTTTTACAATACACTGCATAATAGTTTCATAATGTGTTACCTGCTACTTCACCATCCATCACTTCTTACCTGTGTGATGGAGTAAGAATGTTTCATAATGTTCTCCTCTAGCACTTGATATAGCTCATGTTTCTCTAAATAAAGGTTTGCTGTTCACTGAGCATCTTTTGATCTTGGATTTTATAGAATAATTCTCTATTAAAACTCTTCCTTAGGCCATATCTCACCCTGGGAATGGTCTGTCTTGGCAAGAAGTTTTTAGATCAGAGCTCAAGATGCCAATGAAACTTTACTTCTGTGGCCATGTCTGGTTCTCACCAAATTTGGGGCATATCTCTCTGAAGGTAAATGGCTTAAGGGCTGGGAAGGAAACTCATTATTCATCAATCATAATGTAATATTATTAGATATCAACATACAGTTGAAACTTCAGTACTGTTTTTTAACCTTTATGGCATGAACTAGTGCTCACTTCCAACATCTCTCTTATTAAACAAATAATCCTTTATTTTTCCCTACATGTATACAGTATTCCCCCTGTATCTGCTTTTTTGTAAAAAACATCATGAAGGAAGTTCTTTTCTTACTTTTCTTATCAAATGCCAAATGCAACCTCATCCAGTAATTTTTATGATTTTTCAAATTAAGCCTATTCCTTGAACCTGATCAAACCATCCCTTACTTGTTTTAAATGTCTTTGGTATCCTTTCTCTTCAATGATTATTTTTTAAAGTCTTCATAGAGGCTAAGCCCTTTTGCTGTAACATATTAGCAGTCAGTATGCAAACATAACCTTGTTTCAATATCTTCAGCCCGACAAATTAAAGATGCTTTCTTGATCTTTCACCATAACTAACACCTTATCATGTACTCTAGACATAATTTTTGCAGTTTGAGGTGCCACAGCAAAACTAGACCATTTTTTATTGTTCTTCACCGCCTCATGACTGGAAGATGTCATTTTTGCTGTACACCTAGTGAAAATCAGCATAAGATTTTCTTTCTTGTTGTACAAGAGGAGAATAACACTTTTTCACTGATGGGCAGTCACTTCATACTCTCGTTGGCATTGAAGAACGTGCCAAAATCACTACTGTTTTGTGCTTGGAGCCATTATGAAAGCAAAATTAAGTTCTTTTTTACAAAAACATTCAATAATGAGCAGTGAATTGGACAAGCAAGAATGCTAGATGTAACTGGATGCAAGTAACGCAGTGATCCCTTCTAAAAAATATAGCTAACATTAGCATGAAAAAATGTAGAAAATGACACAAATGCTTTGGCCTCACTAGGCTTTTCCATTTAAGATACAAACATGAAAACCAAACTCTCTGAACATTGACTGTAATTCTCCAATAATAAAAAATTTGTTATACCAGTTTAGTAAACCTATAGTTTGTATACCTATTGCACAATCCCAGTACCAGTTCATAATTCCTTTTTTGTTAATGTATGTCTGTCTCTTGCTTTGGAAGTGTTAGCTATCGTACAGGCACAGAAAATTTTCCTGCATGTTTGTGGAACAGTAATGGTCTTTTAATCCACCTCCAGACTTCTGTAACAATAAACAAGGAAGCAGCAAGGGAATTTAAGGATAGAGTTTAAAGAAAAAAAAATGTTACTGTTCAGACTCATCTAAACAAGAAAATTGTTTAGAAAAGGTAAAATGAAATCACTGGAGTGAAAGTTATAATAGTCCACCAAACAATCAATTAATTATTGCCTTATTAAGTCTAAGATAGTTTTAAGGTCGTTTCAAGTCGTTACCTGACAAAATACCGCCCGAATAAGCCAGACCTCAATTGTAGGCAAATTCTAGAGTCAATTATAGCTGAGATTATAAGAATCCATCGTCGTGATAAGCAAAGCTTGATAATGATTCTCATCATGATTCACAAGAGGTCCGGTCTTGTCTAACTAATTTAGTAAACTTTCTTCAGTAAAGCTTTTGAGGCTGTTGACCCGATAAAGAATTGATAAGTTGTACTGTAGATTTTAAGTAAGGCAATTGATAGAGTATACCGCTCCAAAGACTGTCTGAAGAAAGAAGCAGCTCATGGCATTGGGGGAAGGGTGCACGTCTTGTGATCGAATCATGGCTCACAGCAGGAAGCAAGAGTGTCCATACATGGGTTAAATCCGAGTGGGGATCAGTAACACGGGGGTTCCACAGGGATCAGTCTTGTGCCCGATGTTGTTTTATAATATATATCAATGACTTGATGAAGAATTACTAGTGATATGAAGCAAATTCGCCGAAGAACACGAAGATAGGTAGCAAAATTTAGATGTCAAAACGTAAGATGTTTAGGGAACTTCAGGAGGATTTAGACAAACTCTACTCTTGTTCAGAAAAGTGGCAGATGCAAGTTCAATGTAGATAAATGCAAGGTTCTGAAGCTCGGGAGTGTCCATAACCCTAGCCCTTATAAGTAAATAATGTAGAACTTATACCATAACAGATTGCGAAAGGTACTTGTAGGGGGTTATGGTAAGCAGCAACCTAAACCAAGACAGCATGCCTAAGCGTACGTAATAAGCAAATAGATTACTGGGATTTATAGCAAGAAGTTAGAAGCAACAGAAGTCCTAGGATCCTACTGCAGCTTTATACATCATTAGTAAGGCCTCACCTAGATTATGCAAGCTCAATTCTGGTCTCCATATTACAGAATGGACATAAATTCGTATAGAAAACATTCAGCGTAGGATGACTAAATTAATTACATAGTCATTAGAAATCTCGCTTTATGAAGAAAGATAGAAGACTCTTTAAGTTATAATTCACTGTTTGACGAATAATGAGGTGAACCATGATCAAAGTGTACAATTGGAAGATAGTTATTAATAAAGGGGATATTAACAAGTAGTCTTGATGATATCTCTCCAAGAGAGAACCCCGCATAAATGGATTTAAATTAGATAAGTTTAGATTTAGAAAGGACCATAGGAAAGGTATTGGTTTGGAAATTGGGAAGTTTGATAGTGGAACAGTCTACCTAGTTGGGTTATTGAGGCTGGGACTTTGGGTAGTATTTTCAAATTTAAGGTTGATAAGTACCTGAGTGGGAAAGGTTGGATTTGAGAGGGACTTCACATCGGAGCCTTGTTTCTTGGGTGGCAATTGAAAATTGGGTTGGTCCAAATAGTAGTTAGTGGGATTAAATTGTAAAGGACATCCTAGTATGTGGCGAAACAGGCCTTGCTGCAGCGTTCCTCCTTTCTTATGTTCTTGATGGTTCTCTGCATACTAATGAGGCTTTCTGCATGCACAATTAAATGACACCCCCTCCTATAACAAACAATGTATCTTTCTGAAATAAAAAATCTGAGCAGCCCCCATTGTCGTAAGAAGTTTAAATGGTAAACAGCAATGTACACCAACCTTCTACCCATGCCTTACCTAGGTAAATGTTATTTAACAAAGTTCTGGTTAGATTTTTATGTACATAAGTTATAGAGGAATTTTTTTTTACCAATAATCTTGATTGCTCCACAGGACAATTTTTAGTTTGCACATAAAAAGAACATCATGTAGTTTTAAACCCAGGGTGGGGAACTTATTTAATGTTGGAAGGCTTCATTACCCACAGTTCAGGGTCCATGCCATTGTTCTATGTAATGAGCTCAACTCACACCATAAGCTAATGATCATTAAATTTGGCACTAGATATGAGAGAATAGCTCTATGTTGTAAGTGTACACCATATAAAAAAATCTGCAGCATGCAATACACATGACAAATAAAACTGCGGCCGTGTTTGGTTTAAAGCAGCAACTTTGGGGCATATTTTTTCATACACAGTTTTTATGGTTGGTTATTCATGGTTTCTTGGTCTTATTTGATAGTTTGAAAATATATTACAGAAATAGAATGATTTTGATTTATGGTACTGAAAATAACTTTGAAAATTGAGCTCCAAAGTATCGAAATGTGGGGGTGGGGGAGTTTGTTCAAGAGTAAACAAATCACATCAGCATCCAATGCACATCAACTGATGGGTCCTAATAAATGCATTCGTGAACGTACTGATATTTATTTGCACAATTATATACAATATTGCATAACCAGTTATCTTCTATTTTTTGGTGTGAATAAAAATTCTCATAAATACAGCCTCTCCTCACTTACCAAAGTAACTCTTTACCAACAACTCCGGAGTTACAACGGGCTCTCCGACTCAAGTCAGTATTGTAGTGCTGTACATGAACTTGGGTCACAAGAAATGGCAGCACAGTATCTCAGCGTCAAACATCTCAGTCTCCTCCTTACAGCCACTCAGTAACACTAGCATCTAAAGTCTCCAAGATTAACATACGTATTTGGTACAAATTTTGTACTTGAGATTGTGTCACCCCATAGTAAAAAGATAGAAGTGCAGCCAGCACTTGGGAAGAGATACATGAGGAAGAAGTACAATAGAAGTTTATTGTAAAATTGGTTAGTGAAGGGTCTCAGTATCAAGCAATCTCCAGACTACACATTTCGTTTATAAATTTGTACTTGATTGTTTACACTATAGAACAAAAGATAAAAGTGCAGCAGCACTTGGAAGAGGAAAGATAGGAAAATTGAAGAAATACAAAAGAAGTTCACGGTAAAGGGGTTAGATTGTGTGTTCGGTGTGTTTTCGCTCTCAGTCCTTCGAGGCAGCTTAATTATGAAATGATTAAATTCAGTGAAAAAGATATTCAATGGTGATAAGACTAACAAACTAATACCTTTAGCGGGCAGCGGCAAGCGCAGCAAAAACGGTAAACCTACCAGCTCTTCTTTCTCAAAAAAAAAACATCGCCCATCAAAACTTGTGATGGCCTAAGTGAAAGTATCAACAACATTAACCCACGTAGACCAAAACATGACCCAAGAATACAAAGAATGTTAACCAAAACTTACAAAATTAGAATATCTAAGGAAGACAGCCCTGCTAACCCAAACACTGCCTCCTCTGCCAGACAAGCCACTTAACCCAAAGCTCGAGAAAACAAGCCTCTCCTCCATTTCTACACAGTATCTACTTCAGTGATACTATGAAAGGATATCGCAGAAGAACACAACACCAGTAAATAAAAGAATAACAGCAAGGACCCTAGCACTCAACTTGTCTACCCAGCAGGACGCCAGTGTATCATCCACCCCTCTTCTCCGCCGCCACGCCAAGGAACAAACAACAACACCAACAACAGTGGCTGACTCCCCCGCCAACTCCCACTCCCTCAAAGTGATTTCATCCATATAACTCATGTACGATTATTCCTGACAATATCAAGGACTAAATCGTTTGCTCTAGAAAATGAAAATCAAAGATATCAAAGCAGCACTCGAGCGACGAGAATTTCCAAG